CAGCAGCTCCTGCCACCCCTCACCAGCTGCTCCTGGACTGGCCCCACCAGCTTTTTGGGAGCTGACCTTGGTCAAGGGCCACCTCCAAGATCCAGGGAAAACACCTCAGACCTGCAGTGCTTTCACAGCCCAGTCCAGGTTCAACAGGCTGGAACTGTGCCAGGAATTTTCCTTTGGCTCAGCCCAGGCACTGTGGGGAAGGAAACAGCCCTGAGGAGAATCCAATCTATCCCTGACCCTCCAGGCTTTGCTCCTCTTCAGCTGCTTCACCCCTGCATGGAGGCAAACGTGGTTTTGGGGAGGAAAACGCAACTTTGGGGAGGAAAAACTACAATGTTTGTGCCCAACCTTCAACTCCCTTTGTGTTTGGGAACCACCTTGAACTTCACTCGCTGTTTTTATACAAATTTTATCTACATTTCTTTTCTAGAGATTCCCCCCCCACCCCAAAAAAATTGGCAGGAAAACATTCCATTTATCTCTGATCGATTGTCCTGCGGCTTCTTTCATTTTTTTCTTTTTTCTTTTTTCTTTTTTTTTTTAATTTGCCAAAAATAGCTCCCAGATGTTCGTGGCATGAACTGAAGTCTCCTTTTCTGGCATGAACCATCACCCTCCTCCTCCTCCATCACCCTCCTCCTCCTCCTCCTCCATCTCCCTCCTCCTGTGCCCACTGGGGGAGTGGAGCAGCACCAGTGGCTCCCAGTTCTTTCCACCCACTGGCTCTCATGGTGGCATCTCCTCATTAGTGGCTCCACGTGCCCTTAATTGCTGGTGCAATTATTCCCATCCCTGTTAGATCTTACAGTGCCTCCCTCCTCCTGGTAGCACCAGCTTGGAGCCAAATATTCCCCAAATTGCTCCCAGATCTTTGCAGTCTTCACCCCCACAGGCAGCACAAGGACCCAGGGAATGGCTGGAGCTGTGCCAGGGCAGGGTCAGGTTGGATCTCAGGAAAAGGTTCTTCCCCCAGAGGGTGATTGGGCACTGAATAGGATCCCCAGGGAATGGTCATGGCCCCAAGGCTGCCAGACCTCCAGGAATGTTTGGACAATGCTCTCAGGGACAGGGTGGGATTATTGGGGTTGTCCTGTTGGACTGGATGATCCTCGTGTGTCCCTTCAGGATATTCCATGATTCTGTGATTCCAGCCAACTTGCTCACCTGAGCCCCACCACAATTCCAACCCCACCCAAAACATCCCCCCCAGTTCTTCCAGCTCAAAACCATCCTGGACATCCCAGCAGGGACATCCCGGCGCTGCAGGTGGGATCCAAGAGGTCAGGAAAATGCATGTGTGCTTTATTCATGGATATGTTGGAATATTGACATGTACAGAAGAGAGAAGTACAAGTCTGAGCCCAGGATGGGCTGACACCCGCCCACCACCCTGCCCTGGTGCAGGTTCCCACACAGGGGTCACTGCTCCAGCACCACCTCCCAGCCCTGGATCTTCCCTCCCTGCTCATGTTCCTTCTTGGAAAACGATGCCCATGATGACATGACATGATGCCAACATGGATTTGTACACTCACAATATTTCCTGGGCTCTCAGGGCTGTCAAACTCCTGGGAACGGTGCCGAGCAGCCAAAAAAATAAGAGTTTAGTGGCTACAGAAAGTCTGGCTGGTTCTTTAATTGTTATTATTTTTTTTTAAATTATTATTATTTTTTTCCCATGACTCTTCTTTGTGCTTATGAAGTCCCCAGGAATGGAGTAATTCCTTAAAAAAATGGTCTCCCCTTTCTCTCTCTCTCTTGGTTTTCTCTGCCTTTACAAGCAGCTTTGGGGGTTAAAGAGATTTAAAGGTGAAGATCCAGGGTTTGCTTCACAGAATTCGGCAGGGATGGGATTTCATCCCAAAAAAATCACTGGCTTTTCACAGGGGAAAACAATGGCCTGTGCACACGTGTGCTGGTGGGTGGGAAGGGTGGAATCAGGATCACATCTCTGAGCGAGGCTCAAAAGTCTTTTCGCAAAGTTTGATTCGTGAACAGGCCTGGGGGGAGAATTGACATCAAATATTGGTGAAAAGGGGGAAATGATCGGGAAAAAGCCATGAAGGTTTGGGAATTATTGTTTAATTCCCACCTGCCTGGCTCTTTCCTGCTGGGTGAGAGGCTCTTGCCCTGTGCCCCACTCACTTTTTTCCAAAGTGTCCTTGGAGCCCCAGGAAGGGTCTGGGACAGTATTTGAAGGATAGGAGATGGGAATTGAGGGTCTCATTCAGCTGTGATGCTTAGAGACAACAAATCCTAAGGAGTCTTAAAAGCAAGATATCCCTGGAAGTGTCCAAGGCCAGGTTTGGAGCAACCTGGGCTAGTGGAAGGTGTCCCTGCCCATGTCAGGGGGTTGGACTGAATGATCTTTAAGGTTCCTGCCAACCCATTCCATGATTCTACGATATAAATCCAGGGGAAATGATGACACCTCTGACTGAAATTGTTAAAAATCCTTTAAGATGAACCTTCCAAAACGTGCAAACAGACCACTGGTGCTGCTGTGGGACAGGGCCCTGGACTAGGTGACCTCTGCAGTCTCCACATCAATTTTCCACAGCGCCAGCCTGAAAGGAGACGTCAGGTGGGCTTTCCAATCATCCCAACCGCCCAGAAAAACTCTTCCTCTGCTGGATGAGAAGGAAATGGCAAAGTGGCACTTCAGCATCACTGGAACTGAGCTGTGAGAGCCCCAGGAGTGGGTGCTCCTGGAGAGCAGCTGGCACTTGTGTCCCCAGCCTACAGAGACTGAGCCTGTGAATTGTTAAAGGCTGGTGGGGACAGGCTGGATGTGTGGAAAAGCAGGGAATGACCACAGGACTGAGAAGGAAAGGGGCACAGGAAGGCAATTCCCAGCGTGACCTCATGGAGCTGAGGTAGTTCCTTGCCTTTGAAGGGCTGAGCATCAGAGTTTCATCCCCTTCCCACCTCAGAGGACATGAGTTTTGCAGGGTTGGGGTTGTGTCACCTGCTCTCCCAGAGGACAATGAAGTCCTAGATGAAGGGGAGACGTTCACAGCAACTCTGCATGGATATGGCACTCAGAAAGGACTTCTCTGGAGCTCTCCCTCTCTGCCTGCTTCTCTCACCTGGGTGAGTCTCTTGGCCGTGAAGTTGTCACCTGGAAGTCTCAGCTCAGGGTGGGACTTGGCACCCTGGACACAGGCCTTGGATCTGGGAATGTTCCCACCCTGCACACAGGCCTTGGATCTTGGAATGTTCCCACCCTGCACACAGGCCTTGGATCTTGGCCTGTTCCTGTGCACAGCCCTGGATTAGGAACACCAGGAACCTTGGACAGGATGCACCAGGAGGATTTCTGTCTGTGTCTGTCACACCCACAGGTGTTCAGCTCCAAACAAGAGAGGTTCCACGTTGGACCAAAACCCAAGGAAGCTGCTGCAGCTTCCCAGCAAAATCTGCAGCAGTAAACAATGGGAGGTGTTCTGCAGGGAATGGGAATAAAAAGCACTGGATTCTTCTCTGTCAGCTGCTGTTAAGCCTTTCCACAGATCCAAATGCTAAGGAACTAATGGTGCACAACCCGAGGGAGAAATGGGCTGCTGCAAATCCCAGGCCTCAATAACCTGGGAGAATCTGGGGCTATTCCTGTGCCTCCCATGGCAGCCAGCCTGGATCAGCATTTATCCTGGGAAGCCTTCTCACCCTTCCTTGCATCCTCTT